TGTCTCTCTGGCTCATATGATGATGATGATGATGATAAAAATGATAATGATAGCAGTCACATAAAAGGAATCTGTCTCCACTGATGCGGGAGGGCTTCATGGGAAGGTAAGTTTCTGTATCTACCAGCTGCCATGGTACTCTTGCCAAGGCCCGTGGCAGGACCCTGTTAATGGCAGGCGAGTCCCTTGTGTTCTCCACCACCTCTGAGGCAGGTGTGCTGGGTCCCGGTGAACTGTGTGGCCTGGGCCCTCTGTGTGCTTCCACTCCCTGTGTTGAGTCAGAACTGCATGGCTGAGGAGCTTCTCTGGGGTGGGAAGGGGTGTGGATGCTACAGGCTAGACCCCCATCTTCCTCCTTTGTTCCCATGGCTCCTGGAGACTGGCTGGCTCTTGCTTGCTTCCCAGCAGCCACCAGCTTCTTCAGTTTGCTCTCTAGCACCTGTCCTTGCACATCATCACAGTGAAGGTTTATACTGCCATATCAGCTAGAGCTAGGCAGGTGCAGCGACTCACTGAGGATCCTCCTGCAGGCCACAGCCTGGGGTGGGGGCGGGGAGGGCAGGAAGGTATGTGACCTAATGCTGTGCTGCCAGCCCTGGGTGCACATCTACACATGATGGCCTTCCCACAGGAGCCTGGATGAATGAGATTCCTGTGTGTGATCATACCAGACCCGAGAAAGCTCCAGGGAAAATGGAATTAACAGGGCTGGTGTTGTGGTGCAATGGGTTAAGCTGCCACTTGTGACACTGACATCCCACACTGGAGTGAAAGTTGGAGTCCTGGTTACTCCACTTCCAATCCAACTTCTTGCTAATGTGTCCGGGAAGGTCCTCGAAGATGGCTCAAAGTATTGGGTTCCTGCCACTCAGCCACATTATATGGTCTTGAATGTAGCTCTGGGCTTTGGCCTGTCTCAGTCCTGGCCATTGTGGCCTTTTGGAAGTAAGTCAGTAGATGGAACATCTCTCTGTGTCTCCTCTCTCTTTAAAAAAGAGAAAGGGAGTTAAATGGCCAGTTTATTTTGGAACACAAAATTTTTGAAGTACTGCCTTAAAGTTAAAAAAAAAAAAGCCACAGAATAGCAGCCAATTCCCCCTAAATATATACATACATGCACAATTTCTATGTCTGTTCAATTTTAACAACCAAAAAAGTTCCTTCAAAAAACTATAGAAGAACACCCTGTTTGAAATATATGCAGCCATTTTTTCATAATATGTATCTTACATGAACTTTCTGCAGACCCCACATGGCACAAACTAGATTTCACAAGCGTACTGTAGCAAAACATAAATTAATCTTTTGATTTCCCAGGACCTTCTGGATGCCCTCTGATCCACACAGGTGCATATGCAGTGCCTCTAGATACACCTGTGTGTCCTTGTCTGTGTGCACGTTGCACCTCTGACCTCCTGGACGTGGGGCGGGACTGCCACATCTGCCAGCTCCTCCACAAAGACTCAAGGAGGGAGGCCACACTTAGTCACTCCCCAGGGCCGGGGTGGAGGGTTAGGGCTAGGGTACAGGGCACACGGAGGAACTTCCATCCGTATTTGGAAGTGTGCAAATTGGTGGTCGGGGAGGGTGTTCTGTCTGGAGGAGGTCGCACAGCAAATGCTAAGGACAGCCTCTGGGTTGGGGGGAAGGGGCTCACTCCAGGCACTGAACTTGAGGGGTGAAGTAGAGATCCTCAGAATGGGGTAGAAAAGGTCAGGAACTAGACCAAACCTACAGGTCTTGGAGACAGGATGTGGGCAAAAGATGCCGTAGGGCTTCCCTCCAAGGGTGATGTGGGGTGCTCCCATGTGTAAGAGTGGTATTAGGTTCTCTGTGCAAGTCTACCACCCCTGGAAGCTGAGCCTCTATTTTTAGGGAAACCCATCTGCCCAGGAATGGCAAACCCCCAGTGCCATTCCATCCTGGAAATTCATGAGTCAACTAGGGCGCTCAAGTAGGACTTTTCAAACTCAGCACAGGGAAGCATGCTGCCCTACGGACTGCAATGAGTGGAGCAGTGCGGTGGCTCTCAGACTCGGTCACCTGGGCGCCCTGGCCCCATTTCCTTACCCAAGAAACAAAGAGACAGAGAAATGGACCTGGGAGGGTGGGCACAAGGGGTCTTCACTATCCTCATGGGTCGTACAGCTCATGAAAGCATTCGTGTGGATTTTACAGTGCTTTTGCACCAAGATAAGTGGACCTTTTCATTCTACTGTCTCCATAAATTTGCTTAAAAATTATTTTTAATTTTAAAGAAGGATTTATTTCAAATAGAGAGAGGAAAAGAGAGAGATCTTCCTACGAAGTTCAAGAGTCAGAAGCCCAAAGCACTTGAGCCATCCGCTTCTGCTTTCCCAGGCAGCATATTAGCAGGTAGTAGAATGGGAAGTAGGGTAGCTGGGATATGAACTGGCACCCATATGGGATGCTGGCATCTTGGCAGGAGCTTTACCAGCTTTGCCACAACACTGGTGTCTTCCATGAACTTTATGAAATACCCACTTCCACTGAGGGCTTCTGGGGACAGGAAAGATGAGAGAGAAACCCTTCCGAGCACCCTGCTGCCCCCTAGTCAGCCCTCTCACAAGTGACAGCTTTAGAATGAAGTCCAGTGTGAGGGGGACTGGTGAGGCCATCACGGTGGAGGACAAAGAGCTCTGGGTGGCAAGCTCAGAAGATGAGGCATGGGTCTGACCCTGAGCGTTTCCAGGATGACCTTGATTTCCCATGTACACCATGAGCACCTCTGCCGGCAAGTGCTGGCATCCCATAGGGGCGCCAGCTGGATTATCTGACCGTTCCACTTACCATCCAGCCCCTGTGTTTGTGGCCTGGGAAAGCAGTAGAGGACAGCCCAAAGACTTGGGACCCTGCAGTTGTGTGGGAGATCTGGAAGAAGCTCTTGGTTTCATATTGGCTCAGCTCTGACTATTGTGGCTATTCATTAAGTGAATCAATGGATAGATGATCTTTCTCTTTCTCTCCTTCTCTCTGTAAATCTGTCTAATAAAAATGAATAAATCTTAAAAAAAAAAAAAAAAAAAAGAAAACAGTGGGGCACTGTCCAGGGCAGCCTGTCTAGAATGCATCAATGCCATGTGGACAGCCACTGGCAGCATTGATTTTTCGAACCCTGTCTTAGGTCCCTCTGCCAGGATGAGAAGTTCCCAGTGCCTGTGACACGAAGCAAGCTCCTCTGAACAACCTGAATCAAGCACTGAGCTGAGCCAGTGAAGGGAATGTGATCTATAAAACAAGTACCATAGATCTAAAAAGAAAATAAAATTTTAACCCAAGTGAAGTTCTTCATACAAGTTGTTTTTGTAATGTATGACCTAAGTATATACATATGCAATGATGGTTTTTGAAAAACACAAACAAACAAACAAAAAACCAAGCATACTGGCCAGGCATGCCGACCATATGAGTAACCTTAAGAAAGATGAATTTTACCAGCGGGATTGGTTTGGGAAGCAAACAAATTCTCCTCAGACTCTCATTAGCCATAAAACATGCAAGATTTCGGCGCGATTCAATATTTGCTTTCATCGGAGCTCACAGCCTCGGCCCACACGCTTGAAGGAATGCAAGGAGCTGACTGCGCGAATAACAGCCGGCGTGCCTTTTCTAGCTCAGACGCACAGGGCCAGAGCAAAGAGGTGGCCATGGACTTCAGCGACAAAAATGGGAATTCCTGTACTTTGGTCCAGAAGCCCTTGGCTGGGAGGGCAAGTGGCTGTGACCTGAACCTGGACCTGTTCGAACGTCTACAGGGACAGGCAGGAGGGGGTGGGTACCCTGGGCAGCACAGTGGTTTCTCCGGGGGGCCGAGAAGCTGTGACATCCAAGGCCAGCCTGGGGAGCTGGTTCCATGCGAAAAACTGACACCACTTTGTTTTCCTGCTCTTGCCAAGGGAAAGTGACTCCAGGTGCGAAAAATCTATTTGCTAAGAGGGAGTGGGCAGATTCAGGACTCAGGGTGACCAGCTGAACATAGGGGACATCCTCCAACCGGAAAAGCAGGCAGAAATCATTCATTTATTTGATCCAGAAATGGTTATAATCTGAAATCCTGCAATCCTCTTACACAACAACTGTTTGGGAAACTCCCCCAGCCCACCCCCTCCCCTAGCCCACCCCACCCCATCATGTTCCAGCAAATATGAAACTGTGCTTGCCATTTGTCTAAGGAATCTTACATTAATAAACATGAAGAACAACACTTTTACCTCCCACTCGCAATGACAGGACAAAACAAAGACCAGCTGTATTCATCAATGCGGCCTTGTTCTGCGCATAAAGGCTAATTACACTGCGCTTCAAGCCTACACATGGAAAACTTCACTGCCGCTGTCCCCAGCACGGGCAGCCTGCTGTCCCAGCTGACACCCGGCTACAACTGGTCGTTATTAGCAGGGCCTCATCATGGGCTTCGGTGCCTTCAGCTTGCAGTTTCTTTTCTAACTTGGCTGCTGACACACGTGCCTGTCCCCCTCCCCCCTACCCTAGAATCGGCAGCTGGACGCCAGTGGCCTGTCCCCCAGCTGAGCCAAAGACTCACCTTGAGCTGGGCACAAGACAAGATGTAGAAGAGGCCCCAGGGACACCTGCTCATCTCTTAATTGAGCAGGTTTTTCATTCTCTCCACACACTTGCATGTACCTGTACCCCATGCATGGCCCCACTCACGACAGGAAAGACAAGTGGTTCCCACTAATAGCACACGAGGGGCCATGCCAGGCCGGCCCAGGGCCCTGCAGGTATTTTCCACAACAGGGCAGTCAGCTCCCCACGTGCCTGGATTCTGCTTTCTGATGAAAGCCTCAGGTTAGATGGAGCGGAGAAAGCCAGGCACTAAAGACGTCCCACGGCTGCCAGACTAATGCTAGTTACCCATGGGAACGCATGGGTCCACACAGGCCTGAGACCTTCGACAGCCTGTCCCGTTCCATAAAGCCAGGCGGGACACAAGTCAACAAACGTAGATGCAGACTTACTTTGCAGTAGTTTCTTCATCATATTTGGTTTTCAGGTCAAATAATTCCGTTCGAGTTTTTTCCAGAGCTGAAAGGCAGAGGGAACCCGGATGTAAGCAACGAGTTTTTTTTGACAGGAGGCGGGGAGGCCAAGGGCAAGGACAGCAGGAAATGCCCCCTCTATCCCAAGCTCCTCCCAAGCAGCACCCTGGGGAGAAGGCTCTGCAGAGACCTGACGCTCTACAATGTTTTATTATGAAAAACCTTCCACACCCAACTGCACACATGCTCATGCCACGCATAATGGTATTTCAATCACACGTAGGGTGGTGGTCCTTTAAGAGCATCATGGGGCTCACAAACTCTGGGGGCCTGGGCAGCCCATTGCACTGCCTGGGGTGGAGTACAGCGAGGCAAGTGCTGGATGATGGCAATGACTTTGTGACATGGTCAGGTATTTCCTAACTGTTCTCGTGTTTCTCCTCACCATCACCAGGAAAGCACGCTGTGCTGAGAGGCCATGCAGAATGGCTGTTTGTTGCACACAGGGCTGTGCAAGGGAAGTGCTGTGTGGTCTTGCACATGGACAAACTCGCCTCCTATGGTAACGCTTTTCATAATGTACGACCGATACTGGGTGACCCCGTGTGTGTGCGTGTGTGTGTCTTCTTTCCCTCTGCAGATAGAACAGCTGACTCCTGACTGCCACCTGTCAGCTTCCCTTACAGTGTAGCATGGAGGGCCCAGGCACCTCAGGGTGGGGTGAGGCTGTGGGGGCCTCTTTTTCACCGTCAGCCACTCTGAGTGTGACCCCTCTTCTGTGCCCTCACCAACACTGGATTCCAGCAGGCAAACCCAACCCCTGCTAACATGTCTCTCTCCCTCAACTGCTCACAATGGTTTGCATGTTTTCATGCATGTGTGAGCTGGAGTCCCTTGTCTTTGAACTGCCTGCTCCTGTCCCTGCCTGTTCGGTTGTCATGGACCTGCGGGTGGCCTGGACTAGTCTCTGGGGATGACCCCTTTGCCTGGTCAGTGTGGGGAGACTACTGCCTCCTGCTCCAGCATCTGTGTTTAAACTTGGAGCTGGAACTCTTCCCGTGTCTCTCTCAGCTTTAACTGACATACACAGTTGCTGCTTCCCTTTTAAATAAAAAAAAAAAGTTGGAAGAAACTATACCCACTTTAGCATAACCTTTTTGAGTGTCTTAAATTTGAAAGGTTTGCTATTACTGTTCTTCACTTCACTTAGGGTAGAAATAAGCTTTTTTTTTTTTTTTTTTGCCCATTATTGTTGCAAATGAAATGTCAGCCTTTGACAGTCTGGTGGTTTAGACGTGTTTGTTGGAAAAAGAGCAGGAAGGGATGAAAATGGAATTTGGATCCTCCCACCTCTGCATTAACGACTCAATGTCAGTGACTAATGAAGTCAGGTAGAACAGCCGTGGTGCCAGCTGAGGGGTCCCTGCCCAGACCTCAGCTAGCAGGTAGCAGCACAGAGGACCCATATGCGTCAGGAAGCCGACCCCAGGCTGCCCCTTGGGTTTTGCTGCAGTGGCCTTCACTAGGATGGAAAATAGCAAACCTGTTTGCAGAGTCTGAACTTTATGTTCCGCTTCCTCCAGCTTTGAAGTGGTTGACATCTGGGTCTCTTGCAGTTTTCTGCGAAGAGAATGAAAGCCAATTGGTCATCTTGGTAACCCAGGGAGACACAGCGTGAGCCCCTAGGCTGCTCCCATCGGCTATCTTGGCTGTGACCCAGTGGGTGGCGGGCATGCCATGGGCAGTGCTCCCTGTGCCCTGGAGGTGCTGTGGGGACTGCTCACCTGTCAAGCACACCCTGACCTCGTAGGGAGCACCCTGCAGGGCTGCGTGTGGGGAGCTAGGGAAGTCCTACCCCAAAGGCATTGTGTTCTGGATATGCCAGATATGAAAGCGAAAACAACCAGCACTGTTTTGCACTCAGCACCATCACGCTCTCATTGTTTTTGATGCGCTTGCATTGTGCTGACATGAGGAAGGGGCTGGGGGGGAATAAAGGCTGTCCTAACCAGATGTGTCAGCTGCTCATCTCCTCCACCATGCAATGCAGATGCAGCGGCAGGTCTCAGCGCCCCAGTCTGCCGCCCACATGTTTATGTTTCCCGTGATCTCGACACGAATTCCCTGGGCAGTAAACAGCATTCCTTCCTCCTGAGCTACAGAGCAGCTCTAAAAATAAGGGCATTATTTTTGCATTATAGGAACGTAACGAACGCATTCTCCTAGAAACAAACCCGGGACCCTAGAAGAGTATAAGTCATAGTTTTAAAAGAAATCATCTGAATTTCCATCACCTACAGCAAAGCTTTGTTAAAACTTTAACGTGTTTCAATTAATGTGCTCCGCGTTAAAAAGAAATCAAACAGTGTAGGAACACTGCAAATTCCTTCTCTGCCATGGATGGGATTCTTTGGTATCTTCCTAAAATGCTTCTGCCTGTACAGAAATACAAAGGAATAAGTAACACAATGTACTATAGTGTGCTTATGGCAGCACATGATGGGACAGTGAGATGGGAACTAACATGAAATGGGCTGACACTTAACCATAGGATAGCGAGATGGACATGAACATGCCATGCACCATCATGTGACACTAGAGGATCCATCATTCTACACCAGGGTAGGATGTGAACTCTTTCCTGTCAGTGCCAGCCAAGTCACAGCGCACGCACACACACACACACACACACACACACACACACACACACACACACTCCTGTACACTGCTGGTGCGGGTACTTTCAAAAGTTTGTGGGAAATGGGGATTGTCAAAAACTACACATGGATTTCAAACTGGTGTCAAAATGAGCATCTCTCCCTGCTATTTTCCCATGAATTTTCTGACGTACCCTTGTACTGCTCTCCCACATTCTTATTACATAACTTCACCCAGTCTCTACAGATATCTAACAGCTTTTTTTTTTGGCTCTTACACACCTCTTATATGATCACAGCACAGACATGGCTGCATAACCTTGGGTGTGAGTCTGCTGGAAAAAAAAGTTCTACCAGAGACTCACGGCACCCAGAGGGGCTGCACGATTCATTTTGCTTCGATAGACATTGAGATCCTTCCTAGCAAAAAGCCTCACCAACCGAAGCTCCTGCCAACAGCACGCATACCCTGCCAACACTGGGTAAAATCAAACAGCACATTTCACTGCCGAGGAGAGCTGTGCATTTCTCAAGTCAACTGCTGAGCACGTTTGCTCATTTTTGGACAGGATTGATCATTTCTTATTAATTTGTAAGCACTCTTGGCATATAAAAGAAACCAGCCTTTTGTTTGAGGTGGTGCACATTTTTTTTTCCCCAGTTGGTGAATGTTTCTAAAGCTTTGGTATTGCCAATTGTTTTTAAAAGTCTATTTTTCTTTTTAAACATGTAAGCCAGGGTCAGGCTGGATGCAAGATCCAGGAACTCTATCCAGGTCTCCCCCGTGAACGGCAGGGTTCTAAGCACTTGAGCCATCCTCTGCTGTCTTCTAAAACACATTACCAGGAAGCTGGGTTGGAAGCGCAGCAGCCTGAACTTGAACTAGTGCTCTGACATTCAATGTGAGCTTCACTGGTGCACCATGAAGCCTGTTTCTACAGTTTTTTTTTTTTTTTTGCTTTTATTTATTTGAAAGTTAGAAGGCAGGAAGGAGGGAAAGCGGAAAGGAAAGAGGGAAGAAGAGACCAAAAAATGATCTTCAATCTGGAAGTTTATTCCTTAGATGTAAGAGTCAGGACTTGGCCAGACTGAAGCTGGGAGCTTCAAGCTGGGATTCCACACGTGAGTGGTAGGTACTTGGGGCATCTTACGCTGCTTTTGTGGTACTTTAGCAGGGAGTTGGGATGAGAAGCGGACGAGAAATGGAACAGCCAGCACTTGAACTGCAGCCCACATGGTACGTCAGTCACACGTAGCACTTTAACCTGCTGGACCACAATGCTGACCCCAAAGTTATGGCTTGAAAAATAAATAAATTTTATTTGCGGGCCCAGCGCCATGGCCTAGTGGCTAAAGTCCTCGCCTTGAATGTGCTGGGATCCCATATGGGTGCCAGTTCTAATCCCAGCAGCCACACTTCCCACCCAGCTCCCTGCCTGTGGCCTGGGAAAGCAGTCGAGGATGGCCCCAAATTTTGGGACCCTGCACCCGTATGGGAGACCTGGAAGAGCTCCTGGCTCCTGATCAATGCAGCACTGGCTGTTTCGGTGCACTTCGGGAGTGAAACATCGGATGGAAGATATTTTTCTCTGTCTCTCCTCTTTCTAAATATCTGACTTTGGAATAAAAATAAGTAAGTCTTAAGAAAAAAAGTTTTTTATTTGAAATTCAGAGATACAGAGAGAGAATGAGTGAGAGAGATATTCCATCTGCTGGTTCATTCCCTAAATGGCCAAAGTGACCACGGCTAGGCCAGGCTGAAGCCAGGAGCCAGTAGCTTCATGTGGGATTCCCTTATAGGTGGCAGGGGCACAAACATTTGGGCCATCTTCTGCTGTTATTCCCAGGCCATTACCAGGAAACTGGATTGGAAGTGGAGCAGTGGGGACATGAACTGTCTCCCAAACAGCACGCTGCATCACCATTGGGACCTTTATCTGCTATGCCACAATGCTGGGTCCCTATTTTGTTATAAGTAGTCCTACAAATGTCCTTGTTTGCTTAGAAAGATTTTTCCACTCTCAGCTATTAAAGAATGAAAAATGAATGTACATTTTCTTCCAGCATGTATGTGAGTTAATTATTAATACTGAAATTCTAGATTTGTTTCTATATTTTCATGTACAAAAAAAAAAAAAAAAGGAAAACAGACAGCTTTATTTATCTTTTACAGTTTTCAAGGTTTCCAATATTTTCACTCCTTCACATTCATATGAAAACTCCATAGTGCTTGATCTGCATACTGGTCCATCTCCACATTGTGTGAGGTGTGAACGTGCTCCAGGCGCACACATCACACTGCACCTGCTTTTTCTGAGCCCTCTCCTCTGGGGGCGGGGCCCTCTGTGGGTGGGTGGAGCTCTGGGATGTGAGCATCCTGGAGACTGCATGCTGCTGCCCACAACCCCCTTTCCCTGATAACGCAGGGAGACCTCTTAGGACACGAAGAGTGATCTAGAAGGTGTTTACTTAGGACCCACTTTGTATCAGCTTTCAGCGCCCCACCACTCTCCCAGCAGGGCTGGGGACTCCTCTGTGGCCACCTGAGCACCCCTAAGGTGGGCATAAGCCTGTATGGGTTTGGTCATCTTTGAAAGCCCAGTGCGTACCTCACCTGGGGCCTGATATTTCTCTCTGAACAGAGACTGCTCTGTCACAGGCACTGGATGACTGTGTGTGTGTGCGCACATGTGCATGTCTATGTGTACATACATGTGTGATACTGACCATCAAAATGCACATACAGACACAGGAAATTCACGTGGAACTCAGGGCTTCCTGGAAGGACATGCACTGGGACACACCTTCCTTACTCATCACGACTGATACTTGTTAGCCACACATATCCTGTGCTTGTCTGTGGACCACAGGGCTGCAGCAGACACCCCCTGGCCACTGACCACTGACTGGACTGCACTCAGCAGCAGGCAGAGACCTGCGCTTTGCACCCAGGGGATATCCCAAGGGAAGAATCAAGGGATCCTTTCTTGTCTCACACTCCAACTGGCCTCAGGGCCTGGAGGATTTCTCTTCATGGCCCTGGCTCAGGGGCCTGTGGATTCTGTCATGCTGCGTGTACACGTTCTCACCTCTCCTTCTCTGCGAAATCATTTTGTAACTTCTGCTCCTTCTCCAGAGCGATGACTTCGGCCTGGTTCTTCAGGGTCTGTTCGTAGTCCCGGATTTTCTCTTTGAGTGCTTTGATCGTAACTTCTGCAGAAAGAGGGGAAGAAAAAAAGCTGAAGCCATGTCAGAGAAGCACGGCATCCCCACGGCTGCACACACACACACACACACACACACACACACACACACACACACACACACGAGGCTTGCCTGCGCTAGGGGAACTGTGTGTCTGCAACTTTAGCTCTTCCATTCCGACACAAAATCAATGGCCTGGAGTCCCTTTGGAGACCTCTTACTCCCTAAATGTTAAATTGAACTTTAAATGCGTAGGCTAGGGAGGATCGATGGGTTTTGCTGGGAAGAAGGGCCATGAACTCTCCAATATGATTCAAAAAAAAAAAAAGAAAGAAAGAAAAGAGAAAAAAGCAGAGGTGGGGTAGGAATCAATGGTAAAATACAACACCATGCAGGTGCTGAGTGCCGAGTTAGTCCTCTGTTGAGGGAAGAGTCATCAAGCAGAAGTGTGAGTGTCAGTCCTTCCTTGCAGGAAGAAGGGTTTGGACCATCTCCTGGGTATCTGAAGCCTGCATCTCCTCTGACTGCAAGAATCCACCCTGGAACAGGGGCTGTGGGGTATGCCTCCCCCAGGCCCGGGCTGTGGACGTGAGCCATGTGTGCAGAGCAGATGAGGCAAGGCCTTGGAGGAGAGGTTTGGCCCCTGGCCCAGAAGTGTCCTGGATGGGAGTGAGGGAACCAGGGCCTGGCAGAGCCATGCTGGGTGATGAAGGGGTCCTGGGATGCTCAGGGCTGTGTGGCAAGGCTTCCTCAGGAGGCGGGGCTACCCGGGAAAGCCCAGGTCTACTGAGTGCTTGGCCCCAGCCCTAACACAGCGTGCTCACAGGTCCAATCCAAAACACCAAAGCAGAGATGATAGATAAGGCAAGGCCTGAGTCAGACCAGCAGGGGGTTCCAGGTCAGGAGCCCTGAAAGTATACCTTCCTGCAGACACCCCTACACAGCTCTGTGGGCTAAGACCCTTTGAGTACACTGCTCAAGGCCAGGTTGGGTTTCCTGTGCCCCATAGGTATGGCACCAATGGGTGAAGTGGTTGTAGCCTGGCAGAGCCAGCGAGGCAGGGTGGGGGGTACCTGACAGAAAGGCTCCAGCCATGGTGACCAGGGAGACCTGGGAGGGGAACAGGTGTTATGACTCACCTCCACCTGCACTCCCCTGGACTGGTTCAGGCCTGAACTGCTGATAGGGCATCGATGCCCACATGGTTAGTTCAATGGCTAATAGCTGCAAAACCTTGGAGAGAAGGTACTGCACTAGGCCTTCCTCATCAAAGGGAGAGAGGTGGACCAGGTGATGTTAGGGCAGAGATGGGGTCTTGGGTCTGCCTGTCACTCTTTTTTTTCCCCTAAGATTTTATTTATTAGAAAGGCAGATTTACAGAGAAGGAGAGACAGAAGGAAAGATCTCTAATTCACTGGTTCCCTCCCCAAGTGGCTGCAACAGCTGGAGATAAGCTAATCCAAAGTCAGGAGCCTGGAGCCTCTTCAAGATTTCCCATATGGGTGCAGGGTCCCAAGGTGGGCCGTCCTCGACTGTTTCCTCAGGCCACAAGCAGGGAGCTGAATGGGAAGTGGAGCAGCCAAAATACGAACTGGCTCCCACATGGGATCCTGGCTGCAAGGTGAGGATTTAGACACTAGGCTGTTACTCTGGGCCCTGGATGTCACTCTTGAGCCTGGCTGTGGGGCAGGAGGGTGGCAGGAAGAGGACACCAGCACCACCCTGTCCAGCCAGGACTCTGGGCACCAGGACACATGGATAGTAGCTGGCCCTGTGGCATACCCAAGCTCCTCCCAGCGTGTACACAGTCTGGGCCTGATGAAGTCTCTGACGTGGGGTTGGCATGTGTTCGGGATATTGCTGGGCATCTCAGAAGGTCCCTAGGTGGTAGAAGGGCATTGAAGAGCTTGCCCTGGGGCCTCCATGTACCATCTTTCTAGCACACACACGTGTGTGTGTGTGACATGATGATTATGCATTTGTGATACTGAAATCCCTCTATCCCTCCAAGTTCCACAGGTCAAACCTGTCCCGTTGGTCCCCAAGGTCTGTGGACCCCGGGTGAGGGGGCGGTATCCGCTGGTTCTTGAGTAGAAGCCTTATGGGCCTGGGAGCTTGAGTCTGTGGGATCTATAGCCCTCACAACCTGTAGAATCCCCTGCTCCAGCCTCTGAGTCCTCAAGGTCAAAGGCGCCGTCCAAAGAACATGTCTCCATCAGACCACTCTCCGTCAGGGCCTCTGCGTCTGTTAAATCCCAGCCCACAGGGGCCACCTGCATAAGGAACAGGTGGCAAGGCCGAAGCCCGCAGCCTGGAAGCATGCATCTGAAGCCTTTCTGGCCTGGCAGAGGTTGCAACATGATTTTGTGTGGGACCCTGGGGTCAGGCCTGGCTCTCTGACAGGTGCTGGCAACCGGCACAGGCACACTGGAGCCTGTGGTGATGCAAGAGGGGCATTCTTGGAGTGACCGCCAGTTCTGACATGGCCATAGTGTGGAGGAAAGGCATCGCTTCCCAAGCAGGGAGCATTCTCCTTGCCTCTCTTTAACGACATGCTCAGCCTCGCCCTGCCCTTGCGAGCCACGAAAACGGAGAGAAACAGGGAGAGGCAGGGCGGAGGGACGCGAAGCAGGCGTCTTCCACCTACCTTGGTTTTTCACCTCGGCAAACTCCTTGTTGTACTCTTCCAGGGTCTCCCTAAGCTTCTGATTTTCCGTTTCAATATCGTGCAGGCGCTGTACTTTGAGTTGGAGCTGCTGGCCAAGGTCCAGAGCCGGCACGGGGTCTGCAACAGAGGCAGCTACACATCAGTCACCCCACTCTGATGCGGGTGCGCCCCCTCATGCTGGTGCCCAGGAACTCAGCCGGGTCCAGCAAGCTCCCCAGAGCCCCTTCCTCCTCCTGCCCCCAGACTAGGCTGCCTCAGGGATGTTCCTGTGCCGCTTTGCAAATGTGGGGCACATCCCAGGTGCCCCTGTTTGTAAAAACAGGGTGGGAATAGCTGTGGGGTTCACAGGCATTTGCCAGTGGCTGCGGCGCAGGGTGATGCAACACACTTTAATGGTTTTCATTCTTTGATCTGATAAGGGAAACACCAGTGGTGGCTGTGGGTAGTGGTGTGGGCGGCAGCTAGAGAGAGAGTCCCAGGAAACTCAGCCACACCCCTGAGGCTGAACCCTGGGAGGGAATGTATCTGGGAGTTCAAAGTTCCCAAAATTATGAAGTGGGAAGCAACCCAGATTCACTCTGGGAGCATTCTAGAACCTGGAGTTCACGCTTACTGATAGTTTGTCATTTGAGCCCGACAAGGATTCTGAGAAAGAGACTGTCAGAGCAGTCTTCTTGGAGAAGCTTAGAGTTCTGGCTGGGCAGAGGGTACAGAGCCGGGAATGCTGGCTCCAAGATACCATTCTTTACCAAGAGGCTACAAACTCCTGGGCCTTATGACAAGCCAGCCTGTATCATGGTCCCTTACTGAGGAAGGGGTAGGCAGCTGATCTCCATACCAGAGAACCCTACAGAGGTAGCATGGGTGCTCCAGCACGTCCTAGCATGCCCGCAGCACTCTTGACTTTAACACAGGCAACAGAGCTATGCGCTAGTGTCTGGGCCAGTCTCTAGCACTCTTACAGCCAGCCTGGAATGGTGTCTGCTGAAACCTTCACTTTCAGGAAATCAGACTATGACCTCGAGTCAGATGGCACATATGGGATTCAGGAGACTGACTCTTAGCTACCTAGTGGGCCATCACAATACACCTGCTAGGCACCCATGGAGCAACTCCTCTGGAAGTCTCAGAGCTCTGTCTGAGCAGGGACACACCCAAGTCTACCAGGCATAGAGAGATCGATGGCTCACGTTCCTGGTGCGGGTGCCAGCATCACTTGGGAGGCGGCTGCGGAACTTTGGGCTCCAGTGGAGGAATGCTAAACACCAAGCAAGCATGGTGGTTGGATCAACAGGGGGATATATTCAAGAGCTCACTTAATTTCCAAATGCCAGAGTCATTAATTTTTCAGACCACCCTTGGTTCTTAGAAGCACGGGCTGGGTGTCCCATGCCTCCGTGAGCGTGGCCACCGGGAGCCAGGAACGCGTTGGGGTGCCAATTTCTCTGCAGAGTTTACAAGAGGCAGGCGCTGGGATGTGTCGAGCACGATGGCAGCGGAGCCGGGGGCTGGGGCTTCGCACCAACTCGGTCCCTCCGGTACAACGCTGGCTGCCAGGCATTTACCCTGCTTGTATACACAGTTTATCCCTGCCTCACTTTCGCATGCCCCACTCTCCAGTATTATTTTACCCCAAATTGCAATATTTATGTTACATTAGATTTCCACAGCTATTTTGGGCAACATGGTTCTTTGTCAGCAGGGGTTGTAATCCTAAATTCCTCAGAACATGCTAGGTGCTGTTTTATTTAAAGTTTTCTCTCTTTCTAATTTGAGAGGCAAGCGAGAAAGTGAGTATGAGAGTGTATTGTTCCTATGATTAGTTCACTTCCCAAATGCATGCAGCAGCCAGGGCTGAAGCTGGGAGCAACCCAATTCCCGGAACCCCCACCTGCTGCCCCCCAGGGTCTGTATTAGCTGCACGCTGGATCATGGGGCAGGAGCCAGGTACTGGATCGAGGACTTGGATGTGGAAGGCAGGTCTCTCAGATACTCGGCCAAATCCTTGTGCTTAGGCTTCTGTGTGGCTGAGATCGTGATGTGGACTCCACACAGAGGCCAGGAAGGGAAACTCGCACCACGAATAAGAATTCACGAATTCTTTCTGGCACTGCTGCCGATACAAACAGCATCTTTTTTTCTTTCTGTTTCTCTTCTTCTTCTCTCTCTCGCTAACATTTATTCATTTTCAGTCTAACGCTCTCCCAACTGAGCTATTTCGGCCCTTCATATCTCTAACATTTATTTATCTTTATTGGAAAGTCAGATATACACAGAGAGGAGGAGAGACAGAGAAGAAGATCTTCTAGCCGATGATTCACTCCTCAAATGGCCAAAATGGCCAATGTTGAGCCAACCCGAAGCCAGGAGCCAGGAGCCTCTTCCGGGTTTCCCACATGGGTACAAGGCTTTGGGCCATCCTTGACTGCTTTCCTAGGACACAAGCAGGTGGGATCCTGGTGCGTTCAAGGCGAGGACTTTAGCTGCTAGGCTACAGTGCCAGGCCCACAAACAGCATCTTTAAAGAGATGCTTTAAGCTAGAATTCTGTAACCTACTCCTTAAAATTTCTGTCAACTATGGTTCCTGTCCATTGCTGTTAAAGGATCACGGTCCACTAGATCAGCTTTGAATTATAAGAAAAAACAAAACAAAAAAGCCCTCCCTCCTGCAATTCAGCAAAGAAATCCAATTGACATAAAAATAACACACGCATTATGTGTTACCAGACTTCTAGACACATTTTCCGAGTATGACACTATAAATGAAAACTCTGGTAATCTCGTAAAGATTCATCATGGCATCGATATTTAATTTACCACGATTAAAGGTTAATGCCTGGGCAGCAAAACTGGTCACAGAATAATGAACCGATTCAACGTGCAGACATCACCACACAGTTAAGCCTTAAACTCGAGTCCAGTCGGATGACTCAACGCCCACAGCATCTGAATATTGTTTTGGGATCTGCAGAAGACACTGCAAAAGTACCTCTCAGGCTTAATTTTTATTACTTGTATTAAAGGAACGGCTAATTACTGCATGACAATATAATGACTTGAGCAAGTTGGAGCTGGAGACCAAAACAATGGGTTCCGGCAGGCCAAACCCCAACCTGCACGTTAATCTGGGGAAATCATAGCTTGCTGTCTCGTTAATGATTTCCAATGCCGTTTAAACCCCACACAAGTATTGTTAGGTCTTCTTCGGAATGCCAGCAGCCTCCGATCTCAGCAGCTCCATTAGGGTGAGGCGAGAGGACACGCCCAGGTGTAAAACAGCAACACACAAGGATCCCCAGTCCTGTCCTGCCCGCTTCCTCCTGTGCCACTGGCAGGCCTCTGCAACCCCTGCAAGGTGTTTTATGATGAGCTAACAGGTAATTCCTAAAACACTCCTTGAGGTAGTCTATGGTTCCCTTGTGCAACAACAGGACTCAGAAGATAATTACAAGCAATGACAGTGCTGCTGCTAGCTTCTCCAGCACCTTTCCTTAAGTGTCGTAACATGAGCTCATTCACGCCAGCGCAGCCTGGGGCCAGGGGAGGCTGCCTTGATGCCCTGTGCTGTGTCAGGCACTGGCTGGCACCTCACTGGGGACAGGGAGCGCGCAGACAGGTATACCAAGTGCCCATTAAGGATTCTACTTTTTGAATGGGCAGCCAGCCAAATTCCACCATCTCCTTGGAAATGCACTTGCCAAGCATTTCCTGAGCTGTTCCTTGCTCTGGTGAAGGGCCTGGGGTGGGCATTGAGACGTGCCCCATGGTAAAGTCAAACCGCATGCAGTCACGTGAGACCAGGTGATCCCTTCCTTGTGCAAACCTGCACGGTACAGCTCATGGCACATGCAGATGACACGGCTGAGCCTGCTGTTCCAGGGCTGCATGCTGGTGTGGGGGAATGGTCGAGGCAGTGGTGTTGACACATTGCTAAGTGTTTGTGCATCTGAAGACAGCTAAGAGCGGAAAGGGCACAGGGAAGCCTCAGGCCCAACACCAGTTGCTCACAGGCTGCTTCTACGGGGCAGGACGGCACCTGCATGGTCAAAGTCAAGGACAGAGAGGCCATACTGACCACGGGAAGTGCAAGCCCAGTGTAGAGAGAATAACTGCTGCTTGTTGTTTAAGGAAGCAGTGACATGTGGGCCTAATGGATACACACAACTTAGACCCACGGAGATGATGGGACAGGCAGCACGCATGCGTGTTGTAGCAGGCAGGAGGGCCAGGAAGACGAGTGCCAGACAGGGTCAAAAAGAGGGTCTGACGCAGGCACTCCCCTCAGAGCCAGTGACCACAGACCCGCGGGAGGTGCTGAGGAGCCAGGGTGCTGAGCGGGACAAAATCTGTGCTTCTAGCTTGACGTGCCTGTGAAGTGAGGGAGACGGACAGGAGGCAAAACCAAACCAAGCAGGACACTCAAGTACTGCCATGCAGGAGAAACAGCACGTGGCGCCTCAGAGAGCCATGGGCAGGAAGCGGAGTGGATCGGCAAAGGCCTCTCTGAGTGGGTGGCATGGGATGGAGGGGGCACTGTAAGGGTTCACCCCGGCAGAGGCAGCTGCCAGGCCAAGCTCCAGGGGGCAGTGGGTTGGCAAAGGCCTCTCTGAGTGGGTGGCATGGGATGGAGGGGGCACTGTAAGGGTCCACCCCGGAGAGGCAGCTGCCAGGGCCAAGCTCCAGGGGGAGTACAAACGTGGCACAGCCATGGCTGCAGTGGAGGGCTACGGGAGTGGTCAGAGGCAGGAGTCCACAGCCAAGGATGTAAAGAAAAGCATGTACACAATAAGCAGAAAAACAGGTATGAAGAAGAACCCAGCAGGATTCTAGAGCTGGAAACAGCAGCTGAAATAGGATAGATCTAGCACAGGGGTTTCAACTTTTAATTCCCTTTTTTAAAAAATTATTTTATTTATTTATTTTTTATTGGAAAGTTAGACATACAGAGGAGAGGAAGATCTTCCATCCGCTGGTTCACTCCCCAAGCGGCTGCAATGACTGGAACTGAGCCAGGAGCCAGGTGCTTCCTATGGGTTTCCCACATGGGTGCAGGGTCCCAAGGCTTTGGGTCATCCTTGACTGCTTTCCCAATCCACAAGCAGAGAGCTGGATGGGA